TTGCATTTCGTTAAAACATAATACAATCCAACACGTTTAGTTTTTTGGGGTGGCGAGCAGGGGGGCCACGAGTTCAAGAGGGCGCTGGAAGAGGGCCACGAGCCATAAAAGGTTGAGAACCACTGGTATAGGACATATTCTAAACAATTTCTATATACTTAAAAATATTCTCATTTCAGGTTTGATAAAAATTCAGGCAAATGAGTATGTTATTGCTATTGCTGAAGGAGACGCCATATTGCCAACCAAAGTTACAACTCATGATGGCTCTTTGACGGTTGAGCTTTATAAAGATATACAGGATAATGTTACCAATGAAACTACACAGTTCATATTGCCGGCAACTAATTCCTACCGCGGTGGAAAATGAAATTTCATTTCCGATTTCACAGTAAGTCGCGATAGTTATTGGCACGGTGGTTAGTCATTGGAACTTTAGGTCCGTATATTTAGTCGTTGCATTCTTTTCATTCAAATAGTATTGAAAATATAGGTATTAAGCATCACGAACATAAATCCAGAGTAGATATCTTCTCCGGTTACCAGTCCTCAACATTATTTAACGACAGTTTTGAATAAAGTTAGGTAGACGGGTATTTCAATTTTTCAGTGAAACACTGAAAAATCACGAAGGATATACCACGAGAATCATACTAGCGGTAGTACTTCAAGTAGTAGTTCTTTGAATCCCTCATATTGTTAGATGTTCATAGAGCAGTAATTAATCTACTTATTTTAAGCATTAACAAGACATAATACTACATGTCGTTTTTCGCGGGGTCTGTAAATTTGCGTAGAAAATAGATGAAGATATTTCTGATGATATATATACCTAAAAATTGAGAAAAAAATTGTAGGTTATCAAGCGTGTCGCAGCTCGATAGGAGACAGTTAAATAAATACAATCAATTAAACAGATTCCAGCATTGACTGGAAAAATATCGGCATGAAAAAGTACAGAAAGAGAATACCATATAAACAAATGTATATGAAAATTTTATTGAAAACCATGGGAACGGCGTTATTGGAAGAATACGAACTTGCGCGGACGTCCAACTGAAGACGGGGTATTGTTTTCGGCTGTCTTCGAACCTGCGCGGCCGGAGCCCAATAGATTTCCAGTCGCTTCTACCACTCGGCCACGACAACTACGTGACGTACTGATTCTGATAATATTATATATAAATTATAGCGTTGGTTACATTACTGTTTACGGATATACAGTCGGATTATATTTATTTCTAAATACAACAAGTGGATATAAATTTTTTCTGATATATAAAAATATGAAAATTTTGATTTGACAGTAAAATTAACAAGAATTCAGTGGGTACACTGTCTAATTCCCAACATTAAAAACCCTTCTTTACTTTTTTTATTTTTTTTTTTAATTTTTTTTTTATTTAAAAAGTGAAATAAAAAGCACTTCGCAAAATAGCATTTCGTGCTGAACAATGGAAAATCTGTCACTAAAATCTTGTGAAAAAACAAACAAAAAAAAAACACTTCACACTATTCAATGAATATATATATATATGCTCTTTACTTTTCAACATTAAAGAATGGGTCTCAATGTACTGAACAAAAAAAGCAATGTGGTATATACAATTCTAAACAAAGAATGTTTATTTGTTTACATAGGAAAAAATCAAAAAGAAACTCTTTGCAAGAAACTTGTATAATATTAAATAAATCAAATTAAAAAATTCGACCTATTCCAAATATGTCCCTTGCACAGATCCCAGCAGCCAGCATTGACTTGGAAAACTTCGTGATGAAAAACGAAGTACCCAAAGAGTACCCATATAAACAAATGTATATTTGATTTCATTAAAACAAGGGAACGGCGTTATCGGCAGGATGTGAATTTGCACGGGCAGAGCCCAACAGATTTCTAGTCTGTCGCCCCAACAACTAGGCCCCGACAACTGCGTCACATACTGGTTCTGATAATACAAAACTTATAAAATTTTTACTTTTCCGTAAACAGATCGACAGATTTGGGGAAAATTGTTCCCAAATACTTCAAGATTTGGATATACCTTTTTTTCTGAAACAAAATATGAAACTTTAATTTCTTATCCCAGCAAAAGTTACAAGAATTCATTTTAACCTCTTGTTTGAAAGCTAATTGCGGTGCAAATTATTGTATTTTGTTATGCTGTGCCTTTTCATAGTGAAGCATATTATCCTTTAAAAAAACAGACTATTTAACTTGAACGTATATGTATATCTGTAATGACTAGTTTTATTACTTTAATCTGAGAAAGACGGCAAATAAAGAAATTTTGGAATCAGCTTCAGTTATGCCCGGAGTTTGAGTTTTGGGGAACGCTAATATACGCTGCATGATTATTTCATTGGACACGTCAGTGGACATAACGATCGTTTCAATATTATGTTGTTGTTGTTCTTATTCTTGTTCTTATCCTTGTTCTTCGACACGTTATGAAACAATAGCTTTCCTCTTTGATTACAGGACCAATTGCTTCGAAATTTTCAGTGAGTAAAGACTATACTATTCGCTCGAAGGCTCCTACTTGTTTTTGCTATGACACCATCAAAATTTGCCACTATGTGGCGATACGTGTCCATATATTTGAGCATAGCTCTCATGTTATAAATTTGCGTTCCCCTTTTTTCAATGTAAACGAGATTGACTGTTCATGTAAGTTAACATTTGGTATGACCTTCGCGTCGTTTTGTGCTAAAGCAACGTGAAGTCAGCCTGAACCGGAGCTCGTTGTCATCCCATTATCAGCTTGAATACATTGCAACTATAGTTTGTCGGCTGCTAGTGATATAACGTAGTGATAGCTCGGGATTTAGATGTTTTTGCCATGATCACTGTACTAAACACTTCTCAAATACAGGACTCAGAATATAAATGATAATAGCAAGATTTATTCAAAAATGTCGCAATGCCAATGAAGTAATATTAAAAATATTACCAAGAATACAGATTTGTGTATTGATTTTCGAGTTTCAACTCAGATAAAGGATAATTTAATGGAAAATGTATGTTATGTGTGGTAAGATAAATACATTTTGATTTTTTCTGCAATTTTCAATTACGAGGCATACAATTTAGAAAGTTACCAAGCAAATTGCAGTTCGGTTTGAAATAGTTCAATTGACACAAGAATCGGTTCCGACGATTGGGTCGGATATATAGAGGCAGAAAACAGCAAAATGAATGATAAAATGTTCAACTCACGACTCTTGGTATTTCTGCTGGAAATTTGTTCAATGGGCATCGCTGTAATGATTTAGTTACATTTACAGTGATGAAATAATAATCGACGGATATTGGGAACTTGAAAGGTGTAGGCAATCTTCAATTCAAATATTTATACTTTACCTTCTTTGTCAATAAAGCACTTATCGACGATACCTCGATATATTGAATGATTTATGTTGTAGACAACTGTGTATAAAGTTAGTTTGTGCGAGGTAAACTCGTAGTTACCCATTCTGTAGTAATTTAGTAGATAGTTTTTCAATAGAATGAGGAATAGATTTTAATGGGCCAGTGATGAGTTATGGCGCTGTTATCAGGGATGATTTTGCCGTCAAATAAAGGTTCGCGATATTTTCCAATGATCTCTTGCCACCAAAGTTGTGCTTTTGTAGTATTTGAAGATGATATTTCTTGCATAACATAGAGAGCAGAAAAGGAATAATAACAGGTTTTATGTAATAGAAATTCAAGATAAACCAAGGAACTGAGCGTCATTGATATTGCAGGTAAGGTAAGGAAACACTCTCCGTATGACAAAGTCACTGTTCCAACAAGTCAGTGTCGACTGATAATGACAGATTTTGCAATTTATTACGGTATTCCCGGATGTACGACAGATAACTTTGGCAACATCTAACATAATTTGGCAAATTGGCTACAATTTTTAAATAGGATTATTCATTGCCATGTCTCAACCCTCCTCATATACTAGTAGACAAGTTGCTAGAAATGCCGTAAAATACTATAAACACGAATTGAATGTTTATTACAGCACATTTGCACTCGTTTTTTTCATATATATATAAACAGGACCCAGAACATTTGCACCGACGAAAATTTGTACCCACGGAGATTTGTACCCACGTGCATTTACACCAAGAACAATTGCAATGCCTCACATTTGCACATACGACATTTGTATCCCTTCAAATATGGATTATTTGATATTTTCACTTAAGTCTATTCAAAAACCACGGTAACCCTAAATAGTTGTGTTTTCGACAAAATTTAATTCCAAATATTCATTGATGCAGATGTCCGTGGGTGAAAATGTACTTGGGTTCAAATGTCCATGAATACAGTCTGTACGCGGGTGCTAAAACTATATGGGTAAGTAAGTATGGGGTCGGAATTGTCAATGGGTACTAAATTATGCAGGTTTATTAACGTCCTGGTTGCGATTTACGAATGCAAATCCACGATAATTGAAATTTTGTTTTATTAATATATAAGTATGTCAATAAATAATAAATAATAATAAATAACACGAGAATGGTAATGCGATACTTTTGTCAACACTATAGGAATGAAAGAAATTTTTCTAAAGTGAAGCATATATTTAGAATAATAAACTCGGAATGTGAACTTTTATGCCCTCATTCACAAGCGGCAGACCTAACTGATATGTGAGCATAATGTTTAGTTTACGTACTATAGTGAACATGAGCAAGACAGCATGTATTACCTATTTGTGCCAATATGATAATATGAAGACGAATCGAACAAACATCTATAACGAACTTAAGACGTAACATCAGTCTATTTATAGATGAGTGCTATTGTAGCTCATAACATATATTCATATAGCATGCTGCTTTAATTTTCCTCTATTTATGAGAGTTATTAATTTTATTCCTATATATGAAGTTTATTTGAAGTTTTAACTCTTGAAAGATGTACAAAATAGCGACTCGTTTTAACATGTCGCAAATCGTATAGCAAACTTTCAATCAATCTCTTATCTGGTATTATCTAGAATTCTAGATCAACACAATTTTAAAATAAACAATGGTGAATTAGTTTTATAAGATGATGAAAAGGCAAAATTTTGTAGTGGTCGTAGCTATCGTATCTACTTTAAGTTCACGTGGACTTTCGCAAGGTAAGTAGTTTTTACTGTTTGTTTTTACTAATTGCTGTTACGTAATGCTGAGAAGTATCGGAAAATCATAAACAAACAATGCGTGTATGCGCAAACAAAAGATCGGTAGACAAACCGCAGGCATTCTAAAATTTAGTGGCGATTCGTATATACTTTATGTGCCGGGCAACCAAATTTTAGGCTTACATAGCACTTATTTTCTGTCACGCTTCGTACGCCTTTCCCTTCAAACAAGACTCAGCTTGTGGAAAATGATAGCCCATGCAAATGCGAAAAAGAATAATAGAATATTTTTGGAATATTCGCCTTTTTCAATTTCTTGACAAGTTAGTTACTTGGGCAACGACCGCTTAACAATGATGATTATTTACTAATAAACTAATAAAAATATTACTAATAAAATACGTGTTGTAATACAAAACATAAACATGGTTAACGTAATACAAGATTTAATGAGAACGTCAGATCAATTCTTGAATCAATGTGTTAGGTCTTAAATACAGCACCATGTACGGTTCTCTCTGAGGTTTTGACTCTGTATGTTTTTTAGAAATAGATAGATAAAAACAGTTATTTTTACTATTTATTATTTCAGAATCCTGCACAAACAATCCTAACCCCTGCCAAAACGGAGGAAGCTGTAAAAATACTCCAGGACAGGATCCATATTATAGATGTGATTGCATCCCTGGTTACTTCGACGACACCTGCTCGAGCAACGGTGATTGTCAGGCTTGTCCATGGGACATACTTTTCTGTCCCATCCCATCCCGTGGGATTCCAATTGTAACAAAATTCCTTAAAAAGATTTCATTCCTGGTTTAGCGTCCACTAATTAGTACTACATGTACAATGAGACGTCACACAAAACGACGAAATTTAAAGTCTTCGTTAATTTTAAATTCACTTAACTATTATAAATGTGTCTATCAGCCCCTTGACAAAGTATATTGTGAATTCTGAATATATTTTGCTCTTCATAAATAACAGCAGAGCTATGCTCAAATATATGAACACGAAGTCCATACCTATAAGCTTTTCCCTCATTTTCCCCAAAATTATACGCCATTTCGTGTAAATACAAATGTGTGCTGTCTTATCCCATGGAAGGTTTCCCATGAAAATCCCATTCCCGTGAACAAGCATGTTGATTGTTACCGAACTCGTTATATTCATTTTGTCATTTGGTATTCCCATTGGATTACAATTCCATAACAAAATGTGCAATTTGGGGTTTAGCGTCCACTAACTAGGACTACATGTACGAAGAGACATGCAAAACGACGAAATTTACTGTCTTTGGTAATTTTAACTCCATTTAACTATTTGTTATACATGTGTCTATCAGTCGCTTCACAAAGTAAGTTGTTAAAGATGAATATCATAACTAACAAGAGAACTATGTTCAAATATATGGACGCGAAGTCCATAACTATATGCCTTTTCATCATTTACACCAAAATTATACCCATTATGTCCCATGGTAAATACAAATATGTGCTGTCCGTCCTATCCAATAAGACGTTTCTCATGGAAATCCCATTCCCTTGAACAAGCCTGGTGATTGTCACCAAGCTTAGAAAATATTACTATTATAACGAGTATTATAATATGAAACGTCTGCATGTTCACTTAGGACGTTGTACCAATACACGAACGAATGTTCCTTTTTAACAACTCTGTTGAGTTCAATCGAATTTTTTACTCTGTATAGTTTTTGAGAAAATATTGGGCAGTTAATTTCACTATTTGTCATATATATTATACATGTGACTGCATGCCGGGATACTTCGACCTCACCTGCTCCAGCGATAGTGATTGTTGATAAACTAATTATATTAATATTATATTGTAATACAAAATGTCACCAGGTTCACCGAGGACGGTTTAGACTAATAAAAATGTTTACTTTTTTCACACAACACTGTTTAGTTCAAACAGATTTTATACTCTGTATGGTTTAAGCAGTTAATTTCACTATTTTTTTTTATTTCAGATTACTGCTCAAACAATCCTAACCCCTGTCAAAATGGAGGAAACTGCGAGAATACATCAGGAATTGATCCATATCTTAGATGTGACTGCACGCCGGGTTTCTACGACGACATCTGCTCTAGTGACAGTACGTATCAGAATTTCTCATAATGTGTTAAATGTCACCACTATTATGATTTGCATTGTTTATCAAATACATTTTTGATGCAAAAAAATGCCACTGAGTCAATATGATATAGTTGTTGTAAGACTGCCTTACAGTTTATCAGTTCGTTTCTAAGAGTAAGTTATTAATAATATGATATAGTCTTCAATCAAAACCTCATAAAGTCATCATTTGTGTTTATAATCCATCCAGAACCATATGACATTCTTTCTATCAAACTCAAACTTCCTTGGAGCTGCAACATGTAATCTAATGTCAGTGGCTATTAAAACTCACGAAACTTACTGAGTAGAACCTAAATGAAATACAAAAGATACAATAATCTAGTCTATGAGCACATGATAAAAACTGTAAAATGAAAAGATGAAGTTTGTTTTTACATACTTAAATCTCCTTAATGCGACCCATTTTTATCGCTCGCGACTAATACTCTGGGAATCGATGTTATGTATAATTAGTGAAGAGTATTTGTTCTTATTCATCCACTATCATTAAGTCCCCAAAAACTTCTATCAAAAACTGCTGTAACCAATGATTCACATGAGCAAGATCTCCGATAACAAAGAGCCGAATGCGGCTCCGGAGCTGCATGTTGGCGATAGATGCTAAAGGCCAGGGGTGGCCCGCACTTCGATCGCCATGTTAGGGTAATCGATCGCTAGGAATTGATAAAATTATGGATGTTATTTCATGTCGAGTTACTTCGACAATAACTGCTCTAGTAATGGTGATTGTTAACAATCTGAATGAAATATTAGTAATAAAATGCGTGTTATAGGACAAAACGTGAACATACGTAACATGATACAAAGTTTACTGAGAAGGTCATTGCAATTTTTAAATCAATATGTTCAATTTTGAAGACACTATATTTTTTAAGAAGATTTTATACTCTGTATGATTTTTGAAATAAATTGTTTTTACAATTTTTTTTATTTTAGAATACTGCCTAAACAACCCTAACCCCTGCACAAACGGCGGAAGCTGTGAAAATACTCCAGGACAGGATCCATATTTTAGATGTGATTGCATCCCAGGTTTTTACGACGACATCTGCTCTAGCGACCGTACGTATCAGAATTCCTCTTAGTGTGTTAAATGTCACGACTTTTGACTATTATGATTTGCATTATATATCAAGTGCGTTTCTGGTGCAAAAATTAACACGGAAACGATAAGATTTTTTTTGGTGTAGAACTAATTTACAGTTTATTAATTCGTTTCTATGCATTAGTTGTTAATAATATAAAATATAGTTTTTATTTGAAATCTTAAAAAGTGTTCATTTGTATTGATAGAAGCTAAATCCATCAGATGTAACATGATTGTTATATGAAGTCTCTTTTAATACAGCTCTTCACAAAAACTAATAGACCAACGATAATGGTGAAATTCATAATAATGATTGGGCATTCTCTGAGCATTCAGAGAGTGAGTGCTGGTCACGTATAATACTTGAAAAAATAGGAGAGATTTTACATGGAGGGGTAATACTAAACGAATTATAGGAAAAGACCATTTATAAACCAAATTTTTCAATTAGTCTCTAACGAAATTTATAGCATTCACCTATAGTTCTATATATTCAATATAAATTTCTATAAATATTTTTTGCTAGAATATTGCGATCACAACGACAACCTATGCTTGAACGGAGGAAGCTGTGTATCAGTCCCTGATATTGATCCTTACTATCAATGTAATTGTACAGCTGGATACTTCGGTGACATTTGTTCAAGAGGTATGAGAAATAAGAAAATATGCGTAATATGAAAATCAATCATACTAAATAAACAGAAAATGAAAAAACAGGCATGAATTATAAAAACTGAAATGATGGATATTATATAACTCGTTTGAAATTTGTAAGGAAGACGTTTCAAATTGGATTATGAAATCATAACTGCTATCAGTTTTTAATATGAAACTTGATCTTGTTGGGTAACTCACTCCACCACATTGATATATAATATGATTTACCTCGTTAAACAATTTATAACGAGACGTCACAATTTTTATTATTGAATATTTCATTATAAAATCACACATTGATCACACTTTACTGACATGGCAAATTAGCGATATTATTCATGCAAACCAACACTTATGCTCCATTCCTGATGACCAAAAACGTTTTATTTATAAGATTTGATAGAGATTCGAGGAACTGAGTCTCTTATTGCCATTGCCGAAGGAGACGCCATTTTGCCAATTAATGTTACAACATTTGACGGTGCTTTGACGATTGAGCTTCACAGAGATATTAGTTCTGAAAGTCCCATAGATATACGGGAGAATGTCAACAATGGAACCACTCAGTTCATACTCCAGAACATAGACAAATCGAGCGAAGGAAAATATATATTTGTTGCTTTCTCTGCATCGAATGACTATCAAAGAAATGCAACAACGGAATTGATAGTTTACGGTAAGACTTGTAACTATGCGGTATAGTTCAGCGCTATGCAATTTACATCATTTCGATGATTCGTCGATAAATACATAAAACAGATAGGTAATAAAACAGGTTAACCAAATAAGAATAAGTTTGTCTGTACATTGTATAGTGTAGTAGCGTGTTATGCGAAACGTCATTGAAGAACATTGGGTAATTATAAATCGAATCTTTCATTTTTAAAATATTATCCAAGTGACTAATCATTGTTAAAGCCTTGTATTTCCATTTGTTACCATGTGTTTCAGAAAAAATAAATTTATTTTTCATAAATATACTTCTTCAATCAATACTGAAATATTACCATGCGCATTGCTGCGTTATCATACGTTTTATTCTGTTTAGTTTGGTTTTGAGAGACAAAGAATTTACATTGTTCCAACTAGAAAGTCGGTATTATTGTTAGGGTTACAGTTATCGTTGTTCAAAATTTAAATTACTCAAAAATGATAGAGACTATTAAAAGGATACTATTATTATAATTTTTTACCAAGTTTCATATTTTTCACGGAATTTAGCTAACTATGCGATTGTTACACATTTATAAACAAAATATTTTATTTCAGTTAATGTCAGCATAACAAACATAAATCCATACACGATATTCTCTCCGGTTACAACTGGATCAAGACAGGTTGTATGCAATGCCTCTGGTTATCCGTCTCCAACAAAAACAATATGGATGAAAGATGGGGTGAACGTTTCTCTACAGGAAGGTTCGAGTGTTTACCAATACCATGAAGAAACTCACGCGATCTTATATATTGAAGAAGCACAATTACCGGATGATGGAATTTATACTTGTCGTGCCACAAATTATGTGGGTGAAAATTCTTTAGAAGTATTTGCAGAAGATTATGCCGAACTTTCAGGTTTATTTTTGTTGATAAATGCTCGAAATGTTTTGAGGAGCGATAACGTTTCTCTCTATCATAATCAGGGATTCCATCGATCTGGAACCCAAAATAGGGACTACTGGAAAAATTTCTGCATTGTGAGCAGAAATAGCTGGCTTTTCTATGGCCTCCAGGTTAATGTCACAATTACAGTCGTCACAGTATGCGAAGCACTCACCCTTCCTCGTTTACCTTTAAATTCTTAAGGAAAAATAGGGATGCAAGCTAAATATAAGTCAAAAATAAGGAGAAATCTTAGACATAAGGACGGTATGGAATCCCTGATTATAATTTTTTTTTTTTCAGTTTACGGATCTCCCCATATTATTGAAGTGAATGAGACGCCATGCAGCAGTGATGGAATACTCACTATAAGATGGGCGCCTAACAATCAAACTATAGGAATAAATCACATGTTTGTATTTATTCTCTATTAATATTCAAATGTCTGCACTACATTAATCGTTTGGTAATTATACCTTTTTTTTAGTTTTACAGTGACAAGTCAAAACTCCACGACATCTTACAACAAGCATGAAACTGCAGTAGACGGTAAAGACGTAGAATTCAATAATTTACATCCCTTCAAGGAATACTCAATAAAGGTTAAGTGTGGGAAAGGATATATTAAAATTATTTCAAATTGATTGATTAAATTTTTGTAAACGAAAATATTTATATTGGCTCTCTTAGGCTGTGGTTTGTCCAGATGAATGCATAACTAAATTAAACGCCACATCAAAAGCTACGACGGGGCATGGACTACCTGGATTAGTAAACAACCCCAATATTCAAATGCACTCGACAGATATCTGCCATGTATCATGGGATAGTCCAAACACACCAGACGATCAGATTTTACAATACGAGGTAAATATTGGATAAACGATAAATTTATTAAATTAATTTATATCAGGATTGCATTAACTTGATATATATATATTCAAGGAATTTGAGTTACTTTTTAATTCTCTTAATTGATTAGGCTGATAAGTATTATCGAATATAGAAATTTGAAAAATGATCAAAAAACGTATGATATTATTTACCCACGTCACGCACCTTTAAATTAGTTTAGATAAGTTTTATTATATTCATATATTAGAGATTACGTAGTTTTGAAGATTCAAATAGTTCAGAGAAAAAATAAAACAATAAAAAATGTACAATTAATTATGCTTTCGTACATATGTCCACATATTTCAGATTACATGGAATCAAGAATATGTATATAAACCACCAAACAATGAGGCATTACCTTCGCCAGTAGCTGACAAAGTACCTGCATCGGATCTTACATATAATATTGAAACAGAATCAAATCGACAATATTCAGTAAAAATAACGGCATATACTTGTGCTGGTGCAGGTCTACCAGTAGCCGCAGAAGGGGAATGCATAACAGAAAGCGAAGGTGAGCGAAGGCAATAATCAGAATTCTTGATAAATGCAATGAATGAATATTCTCATACAACCTAATATTTCTGAGTTTGAAATACGCGTATAAACAATTCTGCATATATTTGTTCCAGACTTAAATATTGCCGTCTAAAATTGGTGTTTATTTTTGATGTTTGTGAATTACAAAAACAAAAAAATTGTGTTCGTCGTTTCTATTTCTTCTAATTCAACAAAATAATATGAGGAATATTTTGCAATGTTCATAGTTGCATTTATATTAACCAAATTCAAATTGTCTGACATTTAGAATCGCATCACATTTAACAGGTCCTAATGAGATTGTTGAACCAATACTAAGAGAGAATGACGGCGATTTATCAACAAGAGATATCGATATTACCATACCAAACGAGGAAAACGGACCAATAAGGTGAATAGAAGTGGTTGAAAATAAGAGATGCGTTGCCTGTTTGCGTGCCAAGTGACAATCACTCTCTCATTACTTTAGAATGCAAACGTTACACGTATGGACCATTCTTGCAAATTCTGCACATAAGAGTTATATTATTCAATACAATACTTGCAATATATCAGTACTATGTGCCATAGAGAACTGAAAAACGTTATCAAAAGTTCTGAATATAATTCTTGCTGTACGTAGAAATTGAAAATTAAGAGTGCGATTCTATATTTCTCAAGCATTCTGTGATGGTTTGACGATAACGTAAAATCGTCGTATTATTTATATGCATGCTTTTTTCAGTTGCGTATTCGTAATCGTGAACCAAGGGAATTTAGCAAACAGCAACAAACCGTTTGAAATAGAAGATCTGGATAAGGCAGCAAATCAAGAAAGTGTATCACAAGGAGTTGAATACCTTGCCATTGCTATTCCCAGGTAAATATGTTTTCAATTCCTCAAATTAACAGAAATGAAACAAATAAATTTTAAGTTCCTTTTTTTTATTCAGAGCTACGATAGGAAACAAAAACATTTACATGACAACGCTTGGTGATGAAGAAATAAATCCAGAATGCGATCTTACAACAATATGGTCAAGCAAAAATCGAAACAAAAGATGTGAACGAGCCACTGAGTCATATAAAGGACATAATTGGCCCTTGAAAGCCGATGGGACGTCATATAGGTGGGTTGTATTTTTTATGTTAGACATTTTTAGTTTCCGAAAATTATAAAAATAACATTTCTAATTGTTATTGAATTAATTATAGTTTTCAAATTACCTTGTAACTAGTGCCATATTAACTATGTAAGCCACATATTACCATTTTACAGCTTCTACACGGTATCATCTACCCCAACAAGCAAAGACGTAATATTTGGCAAAAGTGAAATTACTTCATTTGTCAATGGTTCAGCGCGTATGTATATGAATATTGTGATATGAGTTTCCTTTTTAATTGTATATTTGAAATAAGAAAGTTACACATAATCCTAACTGTTTCATTCACTTTAATTTCAGCTATAGCTTGGATGATAGGAGCTGTTGTCGGAATATTTGCATTTGTGGCTATAACAGTTGGTTCTTTGATATACTGCAAGCGTCGCCGACAACGATCAAATAAAAATTCGTCTACAATGACGGTAAATCCATACGACACGATAGACCTTTATGAGACGCCTGTATATGACAAAGCTGTAAATCTTGACTTGCCTGGAAGTCAACAAAATAATGAAGGTATGTCGGATGCCATATAGGCAATATATGTGTCATCAGTCGGGCAATCGGTGCATTTTTACAAAATATATTAATCAAAGAAGAGATCCTCACTTGGAAGTAAAAAAACTTCTTACCAATCGAAATTACCGTCAATCACTGGAATTTGACTCTTTCTAGATTACAGTTTCTAATATTTAAATTACAATCATAACACCACTTATTATGCTAATGAATAACGCGTAATAGAAAGAAGCGAATCCAATAATCAAGAATCAATAAAAAATACAAATATATAATAAAGCAGTTCAAAATAGAGAGCACTGAAATATCTATCCAATCCGCAACTAGCTAACAGACTGAGAAGAGTACACCCCGTTCATCACTGAACAATGAAACCAATCTATATGTAAAACAATCCAAACCAGCTCAAATCCTCTAGCATGAATTTAATTAAATTTAAATTTAATCAAAATAAGTGACAATTTTAAAAGACCAACACTACAAAGCTTTACTGTGAAACAAAGGTTAAGGTAAGCTAAAATCCGCCCCATACATCGACAGTAATACCGATATCAGAAAAAACAACATACGCTATATCGCATTTAACAACCTACATCACATTGCATCGAGAAAAAGACTTACAACGACCTAAATATAAGCAATAAAGCACGAGGCCTATCCTAGCCCCAGCCAAATTATAAAATACAAGGTTTACAGCGCTCTAGCTCCCTCTGTGTACAGTAAAATACAAGTTTTAGAATGACATCAAAAAGTTGTTTATGTTTATTGTGAAAATAAATTTAGCAATAGTAATCAAGTCACTGATATTAATATCCTAACAATATTTCTTGTTTTTTTTTTAGATTCGGAACATATCTATTATACAATACCTAGGTATGAAAATGTGGCATCGAGGAAATAAGAAGGGGACATCATTGTAGGCCTATATCTGCGTTGTTCGTTGTCGAATTTTTTTGGACACGTAATGGACATAGCGATCGTTTTAATATTATGTTGTTGTTGTCTCTCTCGTCACGATGAAATCGCTTTTCTCTTCGAATACTGGACCAATTGCTTTGAAAATTTCAGTGGTTAAAGATTGATTTTTTTTGCCAGAAGGCTATTACTTTTATTTATTTCATAAAAATTCTGTGAACTAGATTCGTTTTTTGATGGCGAAGATGGGATCAGAATAAAAAATAGCGACACCTTGTGGCGATTCCCCGAGGACAGCTGAGAAGCGAATGTAATTCTTTCTTCGCTAAGATTTGTTTGTGGGGAACGGTGAACTGCGCGGTACAGGTGACTGATGTTTATAGTATAGTGTGACTCGGATTGCTTGTGTTACTACATTTATGAGTTAGACGTGTCCATATATTTGAGCATTGCTCTCTTTGTTTATTTAAAAAAATTGATTGTAGTTCTTGAATTTTTACAAGTTGATGAAATCTAATTTTCTATATGTACTGATTATAGTAATTTGATTAAAAATAGATTGTAGTTATTAAATTTTATAAGTTTATGAAAAGCTTATTTTTCTATTTGTACTTATTATAGTAATTTTTGATATAATACTGATTTTTTAATCCTAATTTCGGCTCTAATAAAAAACAGTCAGTTGAGAAATTCATTTCAAACCCTGTTTTTTTATTTTTACATCCGTTCCAATTTTAACTCAAGCGCACAAGTGAGACAGTTATTTTTCATTTTCTCGTCTGAGTAAAGTACTCAGAAGATCTATAGCAGTAGTACTAGTAGTGGTAGCTCTTCCATGGACGAAGTCCATATAATTAGGATTTACAGACAGAATTTCATAGAAATAGTCTTTGAACCACTCAGATTAAATCTGATGAAAAATATAGAAATTAGCTGTTCATAGAGCAGTAATTGATCTACTAATCAAGAGTATTAACAAGCAATTCTACATGTCGTTTTGTATTCGTAGTTGATGGATTGCGTTAAAATAGATAGAACATATTTCTGAAAATAATCTTGAATATTAGGGAAGTTTTTTCTTACGTTATCAAGCGTATCGCAGAAGTCGATCGAAAATAGTTAAATAAATACAGTCGGCTCCGAGTCCGCGAATTACAAATCCGTGTAATATTCGAATAGGATGCCGATTTAATATATAAAATAAAAATATCATTTCAGTGGATTTGGGTATTCCCTGAAGTAAATCAGTTTAACTCAGTATTATAATTGCGGCATTCCACAAAATACCTATATATTTAAAATATGATTATTGTCACTAAAACACTAGTAAATATATTATTGCAGAAATAAACTTTCTTTTGCGCGCCATGACTAATCTGTATGTGGGTTTATCAATGATACGTGTTTGCGAGAACCAATCAAAGCGTGGAAGAGATAAAACCTACCAACATCGATGAATTAAGTTCCAACAAATAAAATAACGAAGATGGTGTAATCATTGTTGTATTTATTTCTTCTTTAATTATTGTTAAATAAATACAGCCGGCTGTGTGTCTGCGCGCTGTGTGTCTTGATTGATATCATAAGTGAATAATAATTGTTGTACCACTGTTAATTTCATTTATATCATTCAACCCCTCAACAAAACTATGACAGGTTTTGTACTGGTATTATATTCCACAGATGACACCAAACCTATAGTAACAGGGCGGTGATATATTCATGATTCCCTGATATTATTCTCTGGATCTTTATCGACATGAACACAAACGCTTGACAACAAAATCTGCTTTGTTATATATATAAATTAATGAACAGTTTCAGTGATGTGTTTCTTGAAATCTTATTGCAACTGACATATTAAATGAAGAATGAAAATATTTGCTTCAAGTAATGATCTTCATAAGGGTAGTCCTTATATAGAGTTATAGACGAAGTACGTTAGGTACACTAAATGTTACTTCTTATATGTGAGAGCGTAAATTTGAGTCAACAACCGAAACTATCGAAATTTCTAAATATTTGGAAATAAATAAAAAAAAGTTTGACGAGACCAGTTGGGTATGACATCACAATATATTTAAAACTATAATTATATTTTACACTTTGAATTTTTAATTTGCTTAGTATTTCAATAACTCATTAGTCGTTATCATAAATCGCCAACCTGCCGCCCCTATTTCACTATTTTATTAAAAACTGCTTTAAATCAATAATTGACTTCTTCGGTTACAAAAAGTCAAAATGAGTTCGACCTTGACCCATGACACATCAGGGATCAGCAAAATGGTTGAGAAACAGCTGGTTAATGCGCAAGGTCTAGGATAATAGCGGATTTTCCGATGTTCATTAATTTGCAAATGGATCAGTTTCGGTGAAGGAGACATTCTTTTTGTCATACACAACTCCTTGATTGCTTTTAGTATTGTATATGACGTCACATCCGTCTAAAAACATATTGCTTGCGTTCTTGAATATCGTATATTTGAACAGATTTGCAAAATGACGCCTTTTAATATCAGTCAAATTTTGTCGTTTTGTATATTTGATGAGACATTACCCAAAATGTATTGTACTCTTAATACTTTCTGAGAAAAATCAATAAAACAAACTGCGAACGGCGATACAAATTTGTTTCGAGTGTATAAACCGCTAGCTAGTTCAAATGGGCTATGTTCGAAACGACTAGAGTGTGGGTTGATAATCTTGCGACGGCTAAGTGTTCAATTTCTGAAATTTTTGATGAATATTCAAACATACGAGAGGTGCAATTCCATTCTCGGCGCTTTGACGGGTGTAGCAAATTCATAGTAAAATTATCAAATCACAAAAATGAAAATTACCAAACTCTTTTCTTCTCATCAATATTTTTTTGACTGGTCTTTTGATGTTAACTTCTAGTACAGAGTGTAAAAATTGGGTAGAACATGATGGAACAAAAATCATCGAGTTCTTACAAAAATATTCGCTACATACATAACAGTAGCTGCAAGACCATAACTTTATTTGAAGTCGAAGTGTGAAAACATATGGTAAAAATGGAACTTTGAATTTATTTTGCAGTTCCCAACTCAGACGAGTCTCCCCTTCACGATCTTAAAAATGCAGAATCCTGTCAAAAGTAAAACGTGATATTTTTATGTACACTATAACGATATATTTTGTCAAAAATTATATATGATGCAATACTATTGATTGTGATATCTTTTTGGCCTAATTCAGAAATTGTCTTGTATTTTAGCATTCTTCGTATTTGTAGTAGTAGCAAAGTTGATTGTGGCAAACACTGCCTGCAATTTAGTATTACAAAATCTGTCTAGTAATTGTATTCGACACAAATCTTACCTAGAACGTTTTCCTCCGCAATCAAGCCACAGAGGATAGATATGAAGCTTCTAATGAAGCTGAAGATATGAAGTGTTTGATGACGCAAATAAATGCTTAGATATACAGTAAATGTATGTAAAAACTTTTGAAGATATTATATGGTAACTATTTTACAAGCTCAAACGAGTCTACTGGTTGATTTCAGGGTGACGAGTTTTTGACAGCTATACTTATTTCGGATAATAATCACCTTTGAAAAATCTGTCTGAATTAAATATGCAAACATCATGCGAAACGTAAAATAGTTATTATAACAATGAAATTATGGTACAAATACAAATGATCATAAATGGGTCCATCCAGGAGTGCTGATCAAGAGCTACAGCAGTGATTACAAGAAGGCAGTTACGTAAACACATGAAGATAACAGCTTAACCCCATGTCAACATCAGTGTGCCGTTATTTCTGGCATATACAATATACTGCTTTTCATGAGATAGCTTACGATACATGCCAAAAGCATACATGCATCTAACGGATATTGTTGTACAACACTACTTTGACCCATATTCCAAACCACCCACTAAATACAGGTCGGCGGTCCGTGCAAAATCAGCGAGTTCGCTCATCAGACAACGGACATCAGACATTCTAACTCAGGGTCGGCCAACCTTTTTGGTCGAAGAGCCACATGTAGTTCACTGATAATTGCACGGGCCACTTAACATAAATATGTTCTAGTTTTGCTACACTGACTATAGGTTAATGAACAAACAAACAATACTCTCACACCAAACTTTCCCAATAATCAGAATAATGAAAATGTTGTTCCTCAACCATTGAGGGGGCGCCATCAGTGGTTATTCCCAAAAGATTCGCCAAGAATCATTTTTTTCACAGTTCGTAACAAATCAATGACTCCAGTCCGTACCCTTAATAGGGACAATGGCTGCAAGCTCTTCGATAATTTCAAATCATCCTTAACTACCCGCAAGAATATCGCCAAGTTGCCATCTGAGCAGTAAACCTGATGTCAGTGCTTTCGCCAAGCGCCAAGGAATACGATGAAAAATTTCCCGATTTTGCAACTAAAGTTTCCGCTATAGATTTCCCAGGCTCTTCAACATGACGAGTTATTGTCTGTCTTGACGGGCTATATTTGCAAATACCTCTTTTATTTCCGGACGTAACACATTGGCAACCCGAACAATACATAGTATACAATCCTTCCATTGTTTTGCGATAGAAATTGGTAAAGACCAGATTGTAAGCGACTATGGCACCTTTATGTATCGATATCTCCTCCCAGTTGGTTTCGATTCAAAATTGCACCCATGGCTCGTTCGAAAGGTCTGGCAGAGCGCATTTCAGGAAAAGAAAGAAATCGTTTGTATCACATCTTTCAATTCACTCCATAACTCAATTTTCTTATTCAATTCTGAAAATTACAGCGCGGGCCACTCTAAATGCCAAGGGTTGGACGACCCTGTTCTAACTGATGCAGCTTCAAAACGTTATTCCCCCATTATCTTTTTGCAGTTGCAGCAAGTTTATTTTGTCATGTGGTAATTGGTTAGGGTCACCCCTTGTGCTATAAAAAAAAAACATGAGATATTCTTATTTCGCCCTATTATTTGGCTTCTTTTATAAAATATATAGTATAGTAAAAACGTCCGACCAGACATCATTCACTCTTACAATAATGCAGGGGCAATTTTGCTTGCCGTTTAATCTGTGCAATATTTCGGAATGAAGAATAATAAAAGCGACTGCCTTACCCTACAGGGCATACACCAAAACGTAGTTCATCCTTTATAGAGGTGCAGTTGCTGGCACCTTAGATATTAGCTAAAAAACAATTAGCATCATTTGCAGTCGCGGCAATTTAGTTTGTCTTTTTGTTATGAAAGATAACTAGATATCGATTCTATGCTTTATCAAACATAAGAACACTACAACCACTACTGTAAAAACACTAACAACACACCTTTAGAATGTTGTTACACCCATTTAACCTGAGATATATTTAAAATGTAGAATAGCAAACGCGACTGCATTATTCAACAACCAAACAAAGTTTACATTTCCTTATAGCGTAGTTGCAGAGAATTCTTTTACTTTGCACATAATTTCTAACATAGAACAGAAGAGACCATTAAATTTCACAAAATTAAACTGGATTCAACCATAGTAACTTTGCCGTTGCCGGATATTCAAATTAACTTTTCAGTTATTCTATTGCACATTATTACTTTATGTTACATCTATAAATAAGAAATCGTGCACCTACCCTCATTATGCAACAATCAATTCACCCTGTTGCCGACACAAAAATCCTACATAATATTTAGGTGCCATCGTTTAATTTGGGGGATTATTTCAAGTTTTTTTTTTTTCGCAAAATCAAAAATTGTTACTTGGGAATCTCTTTTTCGTCAATTTTTCTGACAGGGTAAAAGTTTATAGTGCTCGAAACCAATGGGGGCCAAAAAGTTCTTCGCGAACAATTCGTGTCCATAAATCTTATTCAACAGACTTGTACAACATTACGTTGTACGACATCACTAATTTCATTAAAATTCTGAACCGCCCAAGTGAAAATTTAAAGTTGTGGGAGACTGTAAATTAACGCGTCGCCTTACGTCACTGACGATTATTATTGTAGTCTATTTTTTCATCGATCTCTTCTACCATTCGCTATATTTATACACATACCAATAAAGAAAACGACTGCTTTAACGACTTTCCGCTTAAGATGCCGTTGCTGGTTCCAGTCTCCCCTCAAATTTTTAAATATTTAAATACTCAACATTAAAAATCAGAACTATTCGGCAATTGAAACTAGTTGTCTTTGACTATTATAAACTATCGATAATTAAATTTAAACAGACACCGGGTATCTAAATTATTGAGTATATATATCACTAAGATTATTGAACTTTATGCAATAATCTTGCACGAAAATATACAATTTCAAGCTTGACGCTTATAAGTATGAATGTGATCTACTTTGGGTTAGTATAGCATAGATATAGTAATTTATACATTAGGTTCGAAATAATCTTAGAAAGTTAGATTCGTGGTAAATTTGATTTTTCTCGCGCAAATTTATTTTAAAAATTTTGCGAGAATTGAAACATAATATTTCGATTTTGTTAGTGAACGGATATCACAGGCACAATACAGATTTCATAGATATATGTTCAGTTGTTCGACTTCTTCGTCTACTTGGATTTCTGTCGTGCCATTAAAATTCTTATGTAATATTCTTTGTCATCGAAATTTTTCTGACCTCATAGATGACATTATTACCTTGTTCTTGAACTGCATCTCTATGTTTTATTTAATCATGGTCACACTATTGAATGAAGTATTTTCTCCCTGTCCACTTGTACTTTACTAAATGAACTGCGCCAGATCCAAAACCAGAATAATTAGTGCAAACCAAATTCTTTGCCATCTCAATGTGGAAAATAATCGCCATTTTTATATACTACATACTTTGCAGTAAATTTTTTATTTTGAGAGTAAATATTTAGTAAAATTCTTTAAATAAAAGTGGGTATTGTGACGAAACTTTGATTTGCTTCATGTTTATATTACCTCGGTGTAATATGCGGTAGCGTGGCCATAGTTTCGACTAGTATCTCAGTCTGTGAACGTGGCGGAAAGCTTCGGAATGAATAACCAGTGCCATTATTAAAAAAATTCCCATTGATAGTAATTTATCACATCACTTAATGGTTTATTACCTTGATTTTATTTATTTATAAGTCAGAATTAGGAAATAATCATCACATCTAAAATCAAGATCATCATTACAAATTAACATCAACTTTCCAAATTTATCAACTACAATAAATTTACAATGAAAAACATTTAACAAGGAACAATATAGATATACAACGATGTATTTTTCTTATTTCCGCAATCCAACATTTTTATATCTAGGATTAAGTATGGTAGAATAATATATTCGGAATCTATAAAAAAAAAAGTTTGTTAGCACGCCAATGTTAGCGTGAAACTAAATAAAAATATAAGTATTTTTTATATTTAAGCTTATTTTGAATATTCACATTTCCTCATTAGAGATTGCAGACAGCTTTTGTGCTTGTATCTTTATTATTTTTAAAGTGAAGTTTAAGAGCACATTATCCACCATAAAACTCGAATTAAACATCTTGTCAGTCAAAAACAGCAACAATAAATAATAACAACCAATTGTACTTGTTTTTGTAAATCTTCCATTATTTCAATATTTACGTTACATCCACCTATTTTAAACGTTTATTTTGAATAAAACATACTTTGGCTTTACCATCTGGTATTTGTAACATATTGCCAGCTCGTTATTTTTGAGGTAGGGCGGAACTTGAAATATTCTCGAAAGGGGAGGGGGGATAAAAATGTTTGATAACCATTGGTCTACATTGAAACATAAATAAAAAGCTTCTATAAATTTTGTTATATCTTACACTTAACCATCAAATGAAGCTACAGACCAGGCAAATAGGTCTATGTTGCTCTAACGACATAACGTATCAATTTACTCAAGCAGTTATCTGAGATTTTAATAAAACAAAAAATAATTATCAATTTTCACCAGATACATTTTACCAGGTTACTATTTGTTTCTAGGTTTGCCATGCAAAAAAGTGTCTGATTCGGGTTGTTTTCATAGAGAGATATTTAACCAAATAAAACAAATATCATTTGAATTACAATTGAAAATTTTTGAGGGCATGTGTACTAGGATTAAATACAGATAAATCAAGCGTATGCCCACCCAAAAATAAAGACTTGTCAGCTCTGGGCATTACAGACATCGTTCGTAACTTTTTGTGCTAATCAATGAATTTAATTTTCAGCGGGCTGACCGACGTCACTGAAGAACATTCTTGGGCAAATTTTTTTTTTAAGGTATGTCGACTACTTGGATCAAAAAATATTAAAATAGATTGTCATATAGCATTCGACATACCTTAGTGAAGGCCTGTTGTGTCGTATGGATTCGCCGGCCTTGTATTCGAATTTGGAAGCGAACCTCTGCGTGACCGTTTTCGGCAAATGCAGAAGCATATTCCAGTACAGCAGCATATTACAGTAACAATTGCAATTAATACCACACCAATTCCAGCAATCCACTCCTTACTAAAGATAAAATAAAAGATTATTTATTTTACAACCTTCTATCAATAAATAATAATAAAACTTGAATACGTCGCGTAAGGGGTTGCTTGCTTCAAAAAAATATTATTCTAAATATTTTGCTGCAAATTTTTTATAACAACATGAACAAAATACCAACATGAACAAAATAACAACACGATTCATATATACATTTTCATATGTACATAAGATCAAAAAAATTTGATACAACATTAAACGATCGCTAAATGGGATATACTCATTTTGGGACCTTGTTTATTTTTTGCTCGTGTTTTCGCAATTTTGTCAAAACTGGAATGTGTATTTTTTATTTTTTAGCATGTTGTTTAGTTATTACTCACGACCTTTAGAGCAGTTGTTGCCGTAGTTGCCTTGCATGAAATTGCATATGTAATATGGTTCCTGTCCTGGTGTATTGACACAGCTTCCTCCATTTCTACAATAATCTGGATGGTGCGAACAGAATTCTGAAATACCACATTTCAAAATTAATAATTATTGTCGCTATGATTTTCGAGAGTGAAAAATCTAAATAAAGGGATAGAACAAGGGTCCGCAACTACGGGGTCTGCCCTCTGCTCTGGGTCGCGAAACAAGTTAAATTTTCCATAAATATGAGCATCGCGTCTGTGTAGCGTATTTATGTATAACAACTTTATAAATCTCTGATTTTTATTATGAATGTTTCCCCGAGTATACACTTCCTTATTTACTGCCGTAACATTGGCCAATCAGTATAAGTGCAAAATTGAAGTAACAATAAACGTTTCAGAAGCGCTCGGATACTTTTGCCATTCAGACAGATTTTCATGGTTGTGAATATTATCTCGTTTTGTCGGTTTTTGCGTGTTATTTGTTAGATTTTATGTGTGTTTAGGTAAATATAAGTCCTAAACTTCTTGAAATAAGTACCAATAATTTTGCAATGGCAAAGTGTAAAGAGGAAGAATTCAAGAGATCAAAAGTCGAGGGAACATTCGTTACTTAATTGTTCGCATTGTTATATCCTACTACGTAGACTTTGGTTCTCAAAGTGCTCCGTACGGAGCCTCAGGACTCCGTTGAAGACACTTGGGACCTCCGCGAGCTATTCGTTTACTTGAAAACTGCCCTCGACCCACTGCCCGACCTCTCAACCTTCTATCCTCGACCCACTACGTTATCTCTATATCCTCGAACCACCGCTCTATCTCCCTCAACCTTTCTCTTCTCGACCTACTGCCCTATCTCCCTCAACCTACCTATCCTCGACCCACTGCCCTATCTGGCCCAACTTACCTATCTTTGACCCACGGCGCTATACTATTCAGTACCTGACCTATAACGGTGCTTTATTCACGACCCTATCGCCACACTGAACATTACTATATGCGAGCAACTTCCATGGGTTATACAGGTCGTGTATGCCAATGAGATGATTCAATCGTACGTCGACAAAACATGATTGACGGCATTCGTATATGTAGACTGGAATCCCAAATGGTAAACAATAACCATAATTGGCAGTTTAAAAATGTGTTAATAATTGGGCTACTTATGGTTTCTTGTTGGTAATGACGGTTTTCTAAATTTTAACAAGCCGTTTTATGCCCCTAATAATTCGCCATTTTGTAAGTCTTGTGACAGTATGATGCTCATCTGGAATAAGCAATAGTGCTCTGGTCCGTATAAAGTATTTTTCTTCAACATTTTATAGTAAAAGCGATGCCAAAGATTACGTACGATCTGCGTCCTTTGCAACTTCATTAAGTTGCAGATAAGATAAGCTCAATTTTGGAACTATACGCTGAATTAAAGGGCAGTTGGCAACGCTAGCTACGACAAAACATTTCATGGCTTAAAAATAGCTTGGAAGGGATTGCACTCACTGAGCGACTTATATTTTTGACTGTTTTTGACTTTTCAGCCTTCTCAGTCACAGAAAAGAAATTTGTATATACAACATGATATGGCAGAACATTCGTTGAAAAAGACCAAGCGTGCAAATATTTGATTATTTCCTCATCGTTTTGCCTTGCACGGAAATACAGGCGACATTGAATGAGTTTCTGAAAATAAACTCAGATATGTCGATATCGAATGGCCTGTTAAAATTTTAAAAACAGTGACTCTAAACCCGATGCCATCAGTAGCCTAATTAGTAGCACATTTTTAAGCCACTAATTATGGTTATTGATTACCAATTGAGATTCCAGCCTACATTTACGAATGCCGTCAATCATGTTTTGTCGACGTACGATTGAATCACTTCATTGGCATACTCGACCAGTATAACACATGGAAGTTGGTCGCAAGATGGTAAAGTTCATTTTGACGATCGAGTCGTGATTATAGCGCCGTTAGGTTAAGTACTGAGTGGTATAGCGTCGTGGGTCGAAGATTAGTTAGTTGAGGGAGGCCGGACAGTGGGTCGGGGTGGGAAGTTTGAGGCAGATAGTGCAGGATCGAGGATAGAAAAGTTGAAGGAAATAGAGCAATGGTTCGAGGATAAAAAATAGAAGGGGATAGGACGGTTGTGGGAAATAGGACAGTGGTTCAAGGATACGAAAGTTGAGGGAGATAAGGAGGTGGGTCGAGGAGGGGAAAGTTGAGGGATGTGGACAGTTGGCCGAGGCGATGGAGACAGGGCAGCGGATCGAGAATAGGAAAGTTGAGAAATATAGGGCAGTGGGTCGAAGATTTGAGTTGGGATGACTGTATAACTTCACTGGCTCCAAAGTCTAAATCAGAGGTCGGCAAACTTTTGTCGTTCGCGGGCCATAAATAAAGGTTGCAAGTCATTGGCGGGCCGCACGTATTTTAGAAAGTTAAAAACCAAAGGAATGGCCAATGAATCACATTTTACCCAGAAATTCCAAGCAGTGCGCGAAGACTGATCATTTGAATATTTTCAGCGTCATTAAACCATTTGCGCTCAGCATCAACTTTTTTACGTTCTGTTGCCATTTCTCCAATTATAATCAATTATAGGCTCAATAAACGAGTGATTGTGAAGTATTTATATACTTGTTAGGTTATAGTATAATTTAGTTTCTCAAAACAAATTTGTCACGTAAAAAATATATTCGTCAATAAAGCTAGCTGTTTTGTTAATTTAATTCAGTGAAGCGCCGCGGGCCGAATCCATTTTACTGTGTCGGCCGATATTTGTCCCATCACTGCATCTAGAAATCACTGATATATTTATGCATAGACCGAATTCGATATGAAGGTATCAAATATAATTGGCTTCATAACTGCAATTTCTCGCTTAACTACGAAACATTGCGATAATCCTAAGTGCTGAAAGAGCAACTCAAAAATACGATTTCAATTCATTCATTGCTAGTAGACGGTTTAACAAGTATTTCATGGTTGCCGTAGTATATTAGACAACTCAAAGGCGAGCAATGATGAAATACTAATTAAATTGAATTGATATGACAAGACATTTTAAATTCTCGGGTCGGCCATGGATTGAGCGATATGTGTTGCTCGGGAATTTTCTATTCTGAACCCCCTCCATTTTAGAAAATCATGGCTGCTGCGCCCTTAGTTATAGATAATGTTATATTTGAATCACTACCACATTTCGACATCACCATCGTCAAATTTTATTAGTGACTGTAATGCTTCTTCACAGATACAAAATTAACTAAGTCAGTTTTTAAGTGAACGAATAGCTCGCGGAGCCCTGAGGATCCGTACGGAGCACTTATAGCAGTGGGGATCAACGACCGACAAAAGACTCATCTTCTCACCCTCATCGGATAGAAATACATCAATCCAACCATACATATAAGCGGAATAACAGCGAATAATGTATAAAGATTGGTTTCACGTGTATCTTACAGCAAAGCATCCAAAATTCATTAAAAAACCAATACATTTTCCCCCGCTTTTCAGCCTTTTCAAAATACAATTACAGATCAAGGCTAGAGGTAGAAAAATATCTTCGAGTTGCCGTCTCCCAAATTAAACCTCGATTTGATATGTTGTGTATTATACACAAAGCTTATAATTTGCATTAGTCATAATAAACGCTATTATTCACAATTTTATGTGATAAGTTTCATATAATTTTGTGCAAGTAAAATGCTAGTGTCGACAATAGTCTTAAAATCGATAACTAATTACATGTTTACCAAATGCTTGGGTCGCTAGAGGTTAGAAAATTTTTTTTTTGGTCGCGCTAAAAAGTAGTTGCGGACCCCTGGTATAGAATCAAGCTTAAAAATCCCCATTGCGCATTTTAATTATTCTTGTCTGCTAGTACTTACACAATAGTATCATGAATTATTCGGATATCCGTTCAGTGAATTTTTGGTTACGAAGTGCTCAATTTAGGTCATCTTTGTGACTGTTGTTTGAACTTTCCATCCCTAAGAAACGTTTATGTGAGAAGAAGTTTTACTAAATACATTTTAAATTATTTTACCGCATTAGTTGAACAAAAAAAAATACGAGATCTTGGTCAAGAAATACTCACTGTCGCTGGAGCACGAGGCGCCGTAGAAACCCGCCATGCACTTGCAGATATAAAATGAATAAAGTATTGAATTCACACAAGTTCCTCCGTTTCGGCAGGGATTAGGGTTGTTTGAACAGTATTCTGAATTTGCAAATGACAAGGTATATATAACAAGTAATATTAAATCGATTTGCAAAAAAAGCAAAAATACAGAATAGGAAAAAAGAATTGATTTGAAACTTTCGTCATGAATAAAACATTCAAAATGCATATGTTAAGATATAACTTTTGGTAATATTGTTGGCCTAGGAGTTTAGGTTAAGAGCTGTAATAAAGAGAATATTCATAATAATCCTATATGGATTGTGCTTCTATAACCACAAATGATGCCTTTTGAGGTCTATATATCTCTATCATATCATTTACGACTCATACATATAATCAAACTAATGAACTGAAAATTAGTTCTACAACAACTAAATCTTATCGACTCAATGTCCATTATGTTTTTACCAAGAAAACTATTGCATATATAATGCAAATATAATATTCTTGACATTGAACACATTATGCGGAATTCTGGTATTTACCATTGCTAGAGCGGGTATCGTCGAAGTAGCCATCACATCTATAAAATGAATAAATTCTTGATGTATTCTCGCAGCTTCCTCCGTTTTGGCAGGGATTAGGATTGCAGTATTCTGAAATGACTAATAGTGAGAATAACTGTTTCTATGTTTGCTCGAAAACCATATATAGTTTAAAATATGCTGGAACTCAATAGTATTGTATTTTAAAGTAAACATACTGATTCACGTATTGGTATAAAGCCCCAACACACATTGTATCACGTTACATATGCATATGTCTATAGGTATTATTAGATATTGTAACAAAAAATGGACCTACATATCCTCTAGTATTTAGCTAAGTGATTCTCAAACTTTGACCCTAATCCTCCCTTCGACTAATTTGGAACTTTTTATTTCTCCCTTACTATGCATAAAACTACTTTATTTAGTCGACAGAAGAAAGACAGAAAACTTTGTGCTATTACAATTCATATGATGCGTCATGAAAACACACATTTGAACAAACTGCGGATTGGATATTCATTCTATAACGTCATAATTTTGTCAATAATCCAATCAGACGACTTTTGCAAGTTTTCACTTGAATCTTTTTTTAAACTCGTCGGAGTTGCAATTTTGAGTTCTACGAAACCGGAATAATTAAAGACTTTTAATGATGAAAAAAGTATTTAAAATTTCTTACTAAAACTCAAACAAATTAATTTATTGCCATTATTTACAGTTTACAAACGAGGCTTGCATACATTGAAGTTTTTAATAATGAAGTTTTTAAATACTTTTAATTTGGAAAAAGTATTTAAAATTTCTTACTAAAACTCCAACAGAATTAATTTGTTGCCATTATTTACAGGATACAAAGGAAGGCTTGCATACATTTAAGTTTCGATTTTATCAAAATTTTCTTTTATATGGGTTAGAATCAAATCTCCAAAGCCATGATTAAAACCGAATTCGCTGCAAATTGGGAGAAAGAATCTGCTTTGAGGGCATACGCAAACGTTGTTTCGTTCGTTTCCAGTAAATAATATGCAAGTGTCTTATATTCTATTAGGTTTTGAACTTATTGCATTTTTTGTGTTAGCTCAAGTTTTCGGTTTTCAGTAAATATGCGCTACGATGCTAAATATCAAGTAATCTATTTTGTCTAGCGATTGATTAAAAAGAAGAATACTCATAATACGTTCAACTACTACATTCTTATTTTCTCTCTTGCATTATGATCGTATTATAGTTTATCTTTTATTATAGTATTTATATTACTATCTCGTTCAAGCATCATTGTTACAAATACCACTCGCGAATGCGAAGTAGAAAGTAAACAAGGAGGAAGAACCTGTAGTTTAATACACAACACCCAAATACCGTCATTGTTGATGATTGAAGAATTGTTCCTTTGTAGAGCTTTGTTGGCACTGAACGGCATACGAAGTGTCGCAAAGAAATGTGTGTCATGTAAACTAAGTGTTGTTTGCGCGTCACAAAAAAATCTATACAAACATTCATTAAGTTTCAGGGCGTCTTCTGGTTATTTGTCTAACCAACTTTTGTTTGGGCATGATTACTTTTTGATACTTACCAGCATTGTGTAACAACACTTAGTGATAACAAACTGTAAATATTTCTTACCTTGCGAAAATCCACATGAAGTAAAATGAGCTACAATAGCTACGACCACTACAAATTTATTCCATTCCATTATTTTATAAAACTAATTTACAAATTTATTCCAAAAATCTGTAAAAAATAGGAAATAAAAAGAAATATATTGTATGTAGACACAGTTTCATACAGTTGAAAATGAGTAACTATTTAGATTTTAGAATATACGTCAATATCTTAAACCTGTAAAATTACAAAATGAAAACACTAAACTTCTTGTAAATAAAATAAATTAATTTTCAAAAACATTAATATCAATATTTAGAGATAAATGTAAGATAATAAAAGTAGCATGCTATGTCGGCTAACCATCCGCTACAATATGAAGTTTATCTCTAACTGTCATTTTTCACTCACGTCTCACTGTTGCAATTAGTCAACTTCGACAAAGATTTATTTACTTGTAACTTTATTTATACGGTGTACTTGCTACCGCGTGCTAATTAAACAAAATAAATTTGAAAAATCGAGCTTCTCCAAATATGTCCTTTGAACAGATCGCAACATTGATTGGTAAAACGTCAGGATGGCAAAGGAAGTACAGAAAGTGAATACCATGTAAACCAATGTATATATATATACAATTTCATCAAATTGGGGGAAAGGCGCTGTCGGCTGGATTCGAACCTGCGCGGGCAGAGCCCAACAGATTTCTTTTCTGTCGCCTTAACCACTCAGCCACGACAACTGCGGCACATACTGATTCAGACATTACTATAACAAACGTATAACGATGGCCACTCAGAGAATATTTGTTTCCAAATACTTCAACTACTTGATATACCGTGTTTTTATTACAACAATATGGAAGTATCCCAGCAAGAATGACCTGAATCCAGCAACGACTACTAACGTCTGCCTCGATGGCTCAGTCTGGAGAGCGTCAGACTGAAGATCTGAAGGTCCCTGGTTCAATCCAAGGTCGAGGCAATATTTACTTTTAAACTATAAAGAACCACAGTGATTGTTCTTGTGCCTGCTTGCGGCAAATAAAAGATTGAGAGAAACTCCAAGCAACAAACTTGCGTGATGTTAAACAAAATAAATTTGAAAAATCGACCTTCTTCAAATATGTTGTTTGAACAGATCGCAAAGTAAATACCATGTAAACCAATGTATATATATACAATTTCATCAAATTAGGAGAACGGCGTTGTCGGCAGGATTCGAACCTGCGCGGGCAGAGCCCAACAGATTTCTAGTCTGTCGCCTTAACCACTCGGCCACAACAACTGCGGCACATTCTGATTCAGATATTACTATAAAAAACGTATAACGATGGCCACTCCGAGAGTATTTGTTTCCAAATACATCAACTAGTTGATATACCGTGTTTTATTACAACAATATGGAAGTATCCCAGCAAAAATGACCTGAATCCAGCAACGACTACTAACGTCTGCCTCGATAGCTCAGTCGGGAGAGCGTCAGACTGGAGATCTGAATGTCCCTGGTTCAATCCCGGGTCGAGGCATTATTTACTTTTATACTATTAAGACCACAGTGATTGTTCTTGTGCCTACTTGAGGCAAATAGAAAAAAAAACTGAGAGAAACTCCAATCAATGAACTTGCGTGATGTTAATCAAAATAAATTTGAATAATCGACCTTCTCCAAATAAATCCTTTGAACTGATCACAGCTTTGATTGGGAAAATGCCAGGATGGAAAACGAACCAAATAAAGTGAATACCATGTAAACAAATGTATAAACAATTTCGACAAATAAGGGGAACGGCGTTGTCCGCAGGATTCAAACCTGCGCGGGTAGAGCCCAACAGGTTTCTAGTCTGTCGCCCTAACCACCGGTCACGACAACTGCAGCACATTCTGATTGCCAATAGATTGTCAATCTGTTAATATTTTTATCTGAATACTTTAACAGGTCGATATACCGTTTTAACACAAAATATGGAATTTTGATTTTGTATCACATCAAAAATGACAAGAATTCAGCAAAGGTTCCAAACGTCTGCCTCGATAGCTCAGTCGGGAGAGCGTCAGACTGAAGACCCCGGGTTCAATTCCGGGTCGATGCATTATTTACTTTTAAACAATAAAGAACCGCAGTGATTGTTTTTGTGCCTACTTGCGGCAAATAAAAGATTGAGAGAAACTCCAAGCAACAAACTTGCGTGATGTTAAACAAAATAAATTTGAAAAATCAACCTTCTCCAAATATGTCCTTTGAACAGATCGCAACATTGATTGGTAAAACGTCAGGATGGCAAAGGAAGTATAGAAAGTGAATACCATGTAAACCAATGTATATATATATATACAATTTCATCAAATTAGGGGAACGGCGTTGTCGGCTGGATTCGAACCTGCGCGGGTAGAGCCCAACAGGTTTCTAGTCTGTCGCCTTATCCACACGGTCACGACAACTGCAGCACATTCTGATTGCCAATAGATTGTCACTTGGTTAATATTTTTATCTGAATACTTTAACAGGTCGATATACCGTTTTAACACAAAATATGGAATTTTGATTTTGTATCACATCAAAAATGACAAGAATTCAGCAACGGCTCCAAACGTCTGCCTCGATAGCTCAGTCGGGAGAGCGTCAGACTGAAGATCTGAAGGTCCCTGGTTCAATCCCGGGTCGAGGCATTATTTACTTTTAAACTCCAAAGAACCACAGTGATTGTTCTTGTGCCTACTTGAGGCAAATAAAAGATTGAGAGAAACTCCAAGCAACAAACTTGCGTGATGTTAATTAAACAAAATAAATTTGACAAATCTACCATCTCCAAATATGTCCTTTGAACAGATCGCAACATTGATTGGTAAAACGCCAGGATGGCAAAGGAAGTATAGAAAGTCGATAGCATGTAAACCAATGTATATATATATACAATTTCATCAAATTAGGAGAACGGCGTTGTCGGCTGGATTCGAACCTGCGCGGGCAGAGCCCAACAGATTTCTAGTCTGTCGCCTTAACCACTCGCCACGACAACTGCGGCTCATTCTGATTCAGATATTACTATAAAAAACGTATAACGATGGCCAATCCGAGAAGATTTGACAAGAATTCAGCAACGGCTCCAAACGTCTGCCTCGATAGCTCAGCCGGGAGAGCGTCAGACTGAAGATCTGAAGGTCCCTGGTTCAATCCCGGGTCGAGGCATTATTTACTTTTAAACTCCAAAGAACCACAGTGATTGTTCTTGTGCCTACTTGAGGCAAATAAAAGATTGAGAGAAACTCCAAGCAACAAACTTGCGTGATGTTAATTAAACAAAATAAATTTGAAAAATCGACCTTCTCCAAATATGTCCTTTGAACAGATCAGAAAATTGATTGGTAAAACGTCAGGATGGCAAAGGAAGTATAGAAAGTCGATAGCATGTAAACCAATGTATACAATTTCATCAAATTAGGAGAACGGCGTTGTCGGCTGGATTCGAACCTGCGCGGGCAGAGCCCAACAGATTTCTAGTCTGTCGCCTTAACCACTCGGCCACGACAACTGCGGCACATTCTGATTCAGATATTACTATAAAAAACGTATAACTATTGTAATCCGAGAAGATTTGTTTCCAAATACTTCAACTAGTTGATATACCGTGTTTTTATTACAACAATATGGAAGTATCCCAGAAAAAATGACCTGAATCCAGCAACGAATACTAACGTCTGCCTCGATAGCTCAGTCGGGAGAGCGTCAGACTGAAGATCTGAAGGTCCCTGGTTGAATCCCGGGTCGAGGCATTATTTACTTTTAAAATATAAAGACCACAGTGATTGTTCTTGTGCCTACTTGAGGCAAATAGAAAAAAAAACTGAGAGAAAGTCCAATCAACGAACTTGCGTGATGTTAACCCAAATAAATTTGAATAACCGACCTTCTCCAAATAAATCCCTTGAACAGATCACAGCATTGATTGGGAAAATGTCAGTATGGAAAGTGAACCAAGTAAAGTGAATACCATGTAAACAAATGTATAAACAATTTCATCAAATAAGGGGAACGGCGTTGTCCGCAGGATTCAAATCATTTCAGCAAATCACAGCATTAATTGGGGAAATATCAGGATAAAAAACGAAACAAATCAAGTGAATATCATGTAAACAAATGTATAAACAATTTCGTCAAATAGGGGAACGGCGTTGTCCGCAGGATTCAAACCTGCGCGGGTAGAGCCCAACAGGTTTCTAGTCTGTCGCCTTATCCACACGGTCACGACAACTGCAGCACATTCTGATTGCCAATAGATTTTCACTTGGTTAATATTTTTATCTGAATACTTTAACAGGTCGATATACCGTTTTAACACAAAATATGGAATTTTGATTTTGCATCACATCAAAAATGACAAGAATTCAGCAACGGCTCCAAACGTCTGCCTCGATAGCTCAGTCGGGAGAGCGTCAGACTGAAGATCTGAAGGTCCCTGGTTCAATCCCGGGTCGAGGCATTATTTACTTTCAAACTCCAAAGAACCACAGTGATTGATCTTGTGCCTACTTGAGGCAAATAAAAGATTGCGAGAAACTCCAAGCAACAAACTTGCGTGATGTTAATTAAACAAAATAAATTTGACAAATCTACCATCTCCAAATATGTCCTTTGAACAGATCGCAACATTGATTGGTAAAACGCCAGGATGGCAAAGGAAGTATAGAAAGTCGATAGCATGTAAACCAATGTATATATATATATACAATTTCATCAAATTAGGAGAACGGCGTTGTCGGCAGGACTCGAACCTGCGTGGGCAGAGCCCAACAGATTTCTAGTCTGTCGCCTTAACCACTCGGCCACGACAACTGCTGCACATTCTGATTCAGATATTACTATAAAAAACGTATAACGATGGCCAATCCGAGAAGATTTGTTTCCAAATACTTCAACTAGTTGATATACCGTGTTTTTATTACAACAATATGGAAGTATCCCAGCAAAAATGACCTGAATCCAGCAACGACTACTAACGTCTGCCTCGATAGCTCAGTCGGGAGAGCGTCAGACTGAAGATCTGAAGGTCCCTGGTTCAATCCCGGGTCGAGGCATTATTTACTTTTAAACTATAAAGACCACAGTGATTGTTCTTGTG